CAAACTGAGATTGGTACATCAATGTTCATAGCCGCATTATTCACCATTGCAAGAACATGGAAACAGCCCAGATATCCGACCACAAATGAATGGATTGAGAAATTATGGTACATTCACACAATGGAATACTATGCAGCAAGCAGGAGCAGTAACTTCGTAAATTTTTACCTGACGTGGGAGGGACTGGAAAGCTGAGTGAACTAACTCAGTCCCACAAGGATAAGTACTGTATAAAACTGTTACTGTAGAATGAGTATAAGGATCCAGGAAGGGTGTGAGAGGTTGGAAGCAGAGGGATGTGGATGTGCAGAGGGAAGGGGGTATTAATCATTAGGTTGTAAAATTTGATGGGTGGAGGGGTGAGGGAAATTGTATTTGTTTGTTCAAATTTGTATTTGAGTTTTGTAAATAAACTAGTGGGGGGAGGGGGGGAAAGCTGGAGTGGCCAATCCCTGATAAAACAGGCTTCAGGATGCAAACCATCATAAGAGATAAAGACATTATACAATGATTAAAGGACATCAAGAGGACATACGGTTAGTTAACCTCTATGCAATTAATGATTGTTATTGTTGTGTTCCATTGAGTTGTAACTGAATTATGGCTGACCCTCCAGCAGGTTGACTCATAGTAAAAAAAAAAACCACCTCAAAGTAAGGGTAAAACTCAAACCCACAAAGATCATAAAAGACAAAATGGGAACAAATTTAGAAACCCTAGCATATGGCAAGAGCCCATCTTAAAAGCAAATCCTTGGGTGCATTAAAAAATTTCTCTAATAGGGTGAAAAGAAAGCCCATAGACTTGGAAAAAACATTTAGCAATAACATTTCAGTCAAACGCTTCATAACTAAAATTTATAGAAAAGGATTGATAACTTAATCACACAATGGGAAAATGGCATGAAAAGACTTAATAAAGAAGGAGATTCAGATGACCAAGAAGCCCATGAGGAAATGTTCAAAATCACTAGCAATCAGAGAGATGCAAATCAAAACAATGAGATACCATCTCACCCAAGCAGCAATAGCAAAATATAACAACACAGCAAACAATTAAGGTTGGAGAGAATGTGTAGAGTAGTGTTGTAAAATGATCCAACTGCTATGAAAGGCAGTTTGGTGTTTCCTAAAAAAAAACAACCGAGATGCGCCACGTCTTCGGGAGCAGAGGCAGGTCGTTCGGGGGCTTGAGTCGCTCCAACCCCTCCCCCAAAAAAGCCATCGCAGACCCTGAGTGCCTGCTCCGCGGTAACCAACCATGTGCGACAGAAAGGCGGTGATCAAAAATGCGGACATGCTGGAGGAGACGCAACAGGACGTGCTGGAGAAATACAACATCGAGAAGGAAATCGCGGCCCACATCAAGAAGGAGTTCGTTCATTGAAATGAAAAATAAACAACCTAAATTTAAAAAAAAATAAAAGGAGTTTGACAAGAACACCACCTGGCACAGCATCGTGGGGAGAAACTTCCGGTAGTTATGTGACACATTAAACTAAGCACTTCATCTACTTCTACCTGGGCCAAGTTGCCATTCTTCTGTTCAAATCTGGTTAAAGCATGGACTGTGCCCACACACCTAGTGATCCATCCAAAAACAAGGACTGCAGCCTAAATTCCAAATACCAGAGACTGAAATCTTCAGCCTTGCTAAGAGAACACCTCCATCTTTGAACCTTTGTTGCAGGACCTTCCTCTTTACCAGTTTGTTGTGGTTATAAAACAATTAGCAAAAAAAAAAAAAAAAAAAAAAAAAAAAAAACACCAACCAACCAAACAAAACCCAACCAAACTGAACATAGAAATCTCATATGCCCAGCTATTCTACTGTTAGGAATGTAGTACAAGGAAATCAGACTGGAAACAAAAATAGAGATATACATACATATGTTCATAGCAGCATTATCCATAAGAGTAAGAAAAGGAAACAGCCCCCAAACCCATGAATAAATGAATGGATAGAGAAATTGTGGTACATCCACACAGTGGAATGCTATGCAGCACTAAGTAATAATGACTTTGCAAAATACTATGTAACATGGATGAGTCTAAAGACCATTATGCTGAATGACATATCTCAGTCACATAAGGCCAAATACTGTATAAGACCACTATTGTGAAAGTAGGAGGATAACTGAACAAGATATGCATAAATATTCAAATGTGAAGGGGAGGGTCAGCAGCAGGGCAGGAAAAAAGAAGAAAGGGAAAAATCATCAGGATAGATGTTGGTTGGTGGTGGGGAGGGAATGAAGGAATGAGAAATGTTCAATTGGGACTTGAAAAAAATGTGGTGACAACAGGCATTGACCAATGATAATTAATAATATAAAATATAATGCATATGAAGGATTGTATAAAACACAAATATATGTATGAAACATAATGTATGTGAATGATTATAAGCAAACCAATAAAAAAATTTCATAAAAGTGAAAAAAAAAATAAAAGAGTTAACACTGAGTGGAGGGCATCCTTTGGATCCAGGGTTCTATGCTAGGAAACTCCTGAACACTGGTGAAGGTTAAGATATGTGGAGACCTCCAAAGAGTTCAAGGCCAACAGATGCTGAAGGAAACAAGAACCCTCCTCCAGAATCAACAAAGAAAGCAAGCCTTCCCCTAGAGTTGACACTCTGAATTTGGACTTCTAGACTCCTAAACTCTAAGGAAATATAGTACTATTTTTAAAAACCATTACTTGTGATACCTGTTTTACAGCAGTGCTAGATAACTAAGAGGTTAGGATTTACAACACAGATTTTTGGGGAAGACTCTAAACCTTGTTGATTGCCGTCAAGTCAAGCACGACTCATAGCAACCCTATGAATAAAAGGCCTGAAAGCCTTTCTATAACTCCCGTCATTTATCAAAGTTCATTAAGTTTCCAGAGGCATGTTGTTTAGGAAGTGGATGCCACTCCTGCTTCCAATTTAAACCCCAAAAATGACATTCGAAGGGCAGTTCCACTGTTCAAGTGGCAGTTATGAAGGGGATTTGACAGCTGACTTGACAACATTCTGTTGTCAGGGGAATAAATCCCTCATCGTTGAAGGGTGATCTGTGTGCAACATCCCAACAGCCACCATTTTGGGGTGACTGGATACAAATAAAAAAAGGGAAATTTTCTTAGCTTTTAAACAAGTGAGCACTCAGATAAATACTGGGATAAGAAGGGAGATACATATTGGCCAAGGAGTTAAAGCAGGAGCTGGATTCAAATGGACAGTTAAATCCATCAAAGGTATGTGGGAGTGGGACAGTAAAAAAGATGACTTCTGAATTGTGATGTTAGAGAATATTGGATATATCACTGCTTAAAGAACAAACCAACTTGTCTTGGTAGAAGTGAAATCAAAGTGCTCCTTAAAATCAAGGATAATGAAGCCTAGACTCACAATTTTTGGGCATGTCACCAAGAAGGACCAGTCCCTGGAGAAGGACGTGATACTTGGAAAAATAGGTCGGTGAAAGGAAGAGCCTCAATGAGATAAAATGTCACAGTAATGGCACACAGGACATTCAAAGCTGACTCACCATCACCTACTACAGTATTTTAACTCTTCATCTGGTGTGGCAACATCAAACATCTATGTCATACGTAAGTTTTGCTCTGGTGATATTTCTTTTCAGATTGTGTTTTTCTTACCATTTGGCAAGACATACTTTTTTGTTCAAGACATGCTGTATTGGGCTGCAGGAACTGAGAAAATAAGAGCTTAAGTATGTAGCTAAGCTAATATTTGAAAAGTCAGGCAGCACTTCATGTATTTTGTAGCTTTAAGTGACAGAGTTTGAAATACTACTAGTGTCCTTGTTCACCTTTAGAGTTTCCTTTTGCTTTTCTCCTTAGAGTCTGTCTTACACCTTTTCCAGTAAGAATACAGTTATACTGGTAGTTTGTTGATGTGGTGTATATTGTGGAAAAGGGAGATTGCCTGTCTGTCCTGGTTTTGGTGTGACTGTTTTTTCTGTTAGCTTAATTTTTGATGAGTCTAAGGAGGATTATGCTCTATTTGTCCAGTTTTTTCTTGTAAAGACACAACTGACAACTCTAAGCTCTGAGTTGAACATGCTCTTTTTCTTCATCAAGATTCCTTATATCTGAGAAACAAGAATTAGAAGTAGCAAGAAATTCTAAATTGCTTCATTGTTTCACTTATTTGGGCTTAGGACATTTCAGTGGAATAAGAACACTAGTATAATCTGTATCTACAAACAGAAATTACTTTAGGAGGTATATAGGCAGGAGGTATTAAGGAATGAGTGATTCACACAGAACTGAAATGGTAAGATTTAAGAACCAGAGCCTAATAGAGGTGTATAGGTAGAAAAAAAGATATTAGTACTCAGGAAAGCTACACTATGTGGGTGAATCGCACAGATGAACATTTTTGGGACAGAGGGAGCCATATAGTCAACAGTAGGAACTAAGGCTAGGAGTGAGAGCAGACTGTTTGGACTGGGGAATCCAGCTTTATTTTATTCTGTGGTTAGTACGGAGTCACTGAAAAACTCTGAAAGGAGTTAACACAGTATTTGCATATATGTGATAAATACATGAAGGTTAACCTGGCATCCAGAAGTTTATATCTTACTCTACATGGCCAAAGTGTAAAAAAAGATAAGGAAATGCTTTCTAAATCTATTCTACAGTAATGAGGCTGTTTTCATCAAGTTTGAGAAATGTCATTTTATTCATTGATAGGATTTATCAGACATACTGTCACCAAGTAGTTCCAGCATCATTAAAAGCACACAAACACAGTTTTATAGGGTACAATACAAAGTCAATTTGATGTCTTACTTGCATTTACTAAAAATCTGAGAAACACCGTAATCAAGCACTAAATAATTATCTTGCATAATGAGAAAAGTAGAGCACAATTATTTCATAGAAGGCTTGGGAATGATAATTTAACAAGACTCTTTAATATTAAGATATATTACAAATCAAACCACATCTGCAACGTTACATCAAGAAACTAATCAAAAATAAAAACTGAGTAGCTGAAGAAGGTTGTGTATTTTCTCTTCCAACACTACCCTAACTTCTATTTTTGGCATGAGTTATTAACTTTTTCCATCAATAGGAAAATGTGTTCTGCAAACTCCCTAATGGCACCACGGCCACCGTTGCATTTGCAGATGTATCCAACAGCCTTCTGGGCGGCGGCACAGGCATCGGCAGGAACTCCACTGAGGCCTGCTTTCTTCAAGCACTCTTCATCAGACAGCTCATTTCCTATCAACAGAAACAGTAAATATTTTAAAAGACAAAGAATATTCTTTCAAATTAAAAATAATGCCATCTACAACCAATAATAAATCTGCTATCTTTTGGAGTATGTAAAGTACTGGGTATATAGATTAGGTGAAACAAATATATTTTTAATTGTTCCATACATTTCAAATCATTTGAACTTTTTATTAATTAAAATTTATAACTTATGAACCAACTCTTAATGTTCATGATAAATAATTATCAATGTTTTTCTCTATCACCTTTCCACTTTTTGAGAAGGAAAGAAGAGGAAGGTATTTTGAAGGAATTCTGAAACATTCTGTTTATTAAAGATTCCTCGGTCTTGTATCTCTAGAGACAGAAACAACCTTGAGAAGATTCTGGATCATCAAGTTTCAAAGGCTTTAAATCTTTATTGGAAGAGATAATCCAACTTACTGCCTCACAGCTGCTGACAGATTACAACTATTGACCTCTCAGTTAGCAGTCAATCCCTTTAACCTACTATATGACCAAGGCTTTTTCTCTACATTATTAGATGATATTAATTATTGCTAAACTTTTTTATTTTAAAAGTATAAATTTTTTATTTTATACTGTGTGACTTTTAAGCATGTATATATGTATACATAAATATATGGGATTTCTATGTTCAGCTCTTTGAGGAAGTGCCAAATTGCCTTCCAGAGTGGTCCTACCATTTTATAATCCCACCAAGACTGTATAAGAGTTCCTATCTTGCCACATCCTCTCCAACAACATTTATTACTTGATAGTTTTGATTGACATCTCTCTTACTGCCAGTGATTTCTAGCATTTCTTCATGTGTCTATAGGACACTTCAATATTTTCCTCTGTGAAATTCTTTCCATGTCTTTTGTCCATTCTGTAATTGGGTTATCAGTCTTTTCTTTTGGAGATCCAGGAGATTCTCTAAACTTTCGTTTGAGACTCTTGTCTGAGATGGTACTGCCAAATGCTTGTTCCCAGTTGGTAGGTTTTCTTTTTCACCTTGTTGGAAAAAGTTTTTGATGTGAACAGGGATTTAATCTTTAGAAGGTCCCATTCATCAACCTTATCCTCTTTAGATTGTGCATTTCTGGCTGTATTTGCCAGTCTCTTTATACTACAGACTAGGCCTTCTAAGCTTGATCCCAGTTTGTCTTTGATGAACTTTATGGTTTGGGGCTTTACTCCCAGGTCTCTGATCCATCTTGAGGTGATTTAATTAGTAGGCCAATTTAGTAGAGTAGCAAGATCAGTATCTAAAAATCAGAGTAACTAACTCTACAGTAACAAAGAGCACTCAGAGAAGGAAACCAAGAAAGCAATACCATTTACAATAGCCAACCACAAATAGAGATACTTGAGTGTGAACTAGAGTTACAAAAAAAAAAAAAAAAAGACCTGTACAAAGGAAACTACAGAACATTTCTACAAGACACAATAAAAGACCTAAAGAAAGGGAAAAATCTGCCCTGTTCAAGGATAGGAAGACTCCATACTGTGAACGTAACAATCCTACCAAAAGCAATCTACATATTCAGCGCAACTGCAATACAGATACCAAATTCATTTTTCAAGGAGATCGAAAGGGAAGTCATTAAGTTTACTTGGAGAGGAAAGAGACCACAAATAAGCAAAACACTTCTGAGAAACAAAAATGAAGTGGGAGGCATAGCACTCCCTGACCTCAAAACCTACTACACAGCAGTAGTAACTAAAATAGCCTCATATTGATACAATGACAGACACATAGACCAGTGTAAAGAATTGAGAACCCAGAAATAGAGCCAGCTATCTATTGTCAGCTGATATTTGACAAGGAAATAAAACCTATCAAGTAAGGAAATGACAACCTCTTCAACATACAGTGCTGGCAATAATATAGAGATATTTTTAAAGTCACACAATGTCCTTCAAAGAAGTATATCAATAATATCCTTTAATATCATCTAATAACCTCTGAAAGAGAAAGATGGACAGTCTCCTGCCAAGTTTACAGCACCAGGTATCAGTGAATCAAAACTGACTCGACAGCAGTGAGTCATAAAATAGTAATAGTTAAAATATTCTTCGGTGCTTCAAAACTATCTTTTCCAAAAACTATCAAACCAAAACTATCCTTTATGATTTATTTGAATAAGGAACCAAGTAAGGTCCACATATTGCCTTGTTATTGTCACTGTGCTGTTGAGTCAGTTATGACTCACAGTACCCTATAAACAGGTCTGAACCTTGTCCTATCTTTAAGCCATCTTCATGATCTCTGACAAGCTTCCCCGAGTCTGCTGGTCTAGTCACTGTCAATCCATCCTGTTGACAGTCTTCCTCTGACCCTCCACCTTTCCCAACATGATGGTTTTTTTCTAAGAATTAGCCACTCCTGGTAACATGACCAAAGTATGTGAAATGGAATTTCATCATCCTTGCCTTCAAGGAGGAAACTGGTTGCATTTTTTCCAAGACAGGTTTGTTTATTCTTTTGGCAGTTTGTAGGATAGTCATTATTCTTCACCAATAGAATTCAAAGATAAAAATGAGTCTTTTATGCTGATTTGTTGTCAAATTTCCAGAGACTTAAGAAGCAACAAATAAATACCATGGCTTGGATCAATCAGGTACATCTCTGTTTTTAAACATATATCCTTATTCTTGAGCACTTTAGTAGGTCCTCGACAGCAGATTTTCCTAATGCAATGTCTTTTGAGTTTTTGACTGCTGTCACCATGAATGTTGACTGTGGATCCAAGTAAAGTGAAAAGGATCCAAGTAAAGTGAAAAATTTTTCATTTTTCACTGACAAATTCAATTTTCTTTCTTCTACCATGATGCTGGCCATTGGTGACTTACTGCCTTGTTATGTGCCATTGCTTCCCCTGTGACTCATAGCAACCCTATGTACAACAACTCTGAACCCTGCTCTTATCTTGAGACAATTTCATTGTCTCTGACACCTCTACCCCGATTACCCTACACACTGAGTCAATCCATTTCATCCAGGGTCTTCCTCTCTTGCACTGTCCCTCCTAGCAACATGCCCAAAGTATGTGAGATAGAGTTTCAAAATCCTTGCCTCCAAGGTGCAGCCTGCTTCATCCTCTCCACAACAGACCTTCTAGCTCTCTTAGAAAGTCCATGGTAGGTTCAATACTATTCTCCAGTATCACAACTGAAAGGCATCAATTCTTCTGTCATCCTAAGTCACTGTCCAGCTGTCTGCTGCATGCCAACTAAGTGCAAAGACCATGGTTTGGATGATGTACACCTTAGTCTCTAGACTGACATTGTTGCTCTTTTCAGTACTATGGAGAGGTGCCTGGCAGATTTTCCTAATGCAATTTGTCTTTTGATCTCCTGATTGCTGGTACCAAGAGTGTTGATTGTGGAGCTAAGTAACCGGAAATTGCTAACAATCTCAATCTCTTCTCTATCAAGATGCTGCCAATTGGCCTGGTGGTGAGAATCTTTTTCTTTATGTTAAGCTTCAGTTCATATTAAAGGTAGTCCTTGACCTTATCCAGCAAATGCTTCAGGCCCTCCTCACTTTCAGCTAGCAAGGTTGTATCTATCATCTACATTATGCAGACTGTTGATGAGTCTTCCTCCAATCCTGATGCCACATTCCTCCTCATAAAGTCCTGCCTCCTGAATGATCTGTTCTGCATATAAAAAGGTACGGAGATTAAGATGCATCTCTGATGTACACCTTTCCTAATTTTTGAGTCAGGCAGTGTTTTCTTGTCTTGTACTATTCCAATGACTACCTCCTGTTTCAAATATAGATTTTGCATAAGCACAATCAAGTGTTCTGGGATTCCCATTCCTCTCAAAGTTAGTCACAACTTGTTGCAATCCACACAGTGAAATGCATTTGTATAGTCAATGAAACACAGGTAGACAAGACACTCCTCTGGTACTTTCTGCTTTCAGTATTATCCATTTAACACTGACTATAATGTCCCCTAGTGCGACAGCCTCTTCTAAACCCATCCTGCACATCTGGCAGTTCCCTGATGATGTACTGTTCCAGTCATATCTGGATAATCTTTAGCAGGATCTTGCTTGCAAGTGATATTAATGATATCGTTCAATAATTTCCACACTCTTTAGGATGACTTTTTTTTTAAAAAAAAAAAAAGTAGAAACAAATATGGATCTCTTTCAGTCAGTTGGTTTGGTTGTAGTCCTCCTTTCTTGGCACAACTTGGTGAGCACGTACAGGGAAAAATCCGGTTTTTTAAATCAGTCAATTTGTATGTTGTCAAGTCCTGGGGCCTGTTTTTTTTTTTGCCAAGTCCTTCTGAGCAGCCTGGATTTCCTATTCCTTCCATCTTCTTTTGATGCTTCCTGGGTCATTCAACATTCTCCCCACAAAATCCTTAAGAATTGCAATTTGAAGCTTGAATTTCTTCTTCAAACTCTTACTAGTTCCTCTGATTTTTATGCCACTTATTTATTTACTGAAAACAATTACCTTTGTTAGACAATTAAATATTAAAATCACACTGAAATAACTGTTTCCTTTCTCTTTTTACTTCTCTCCCTACCCTCACCTGCATCATTATTTTGGAGTAGGGTAACTTTCAGAAGTGTTCACTGTCTTAGGTTCATTGTTCTTAATATAACTATCATTATACTGTAAAATACTAATAATACGAAGTTGGTTAGAAACTGTTGATTTCATTTTAAATTTGTTCTACATTTATCTGCTGAAAGCTCTGGTGACCTAGTGGTAAGAAGCTGCCCTGAAATCCCAAATGCATGTGGTTCAAATCCACCAGCAGCTCCACAGAAGGACAGGCTTCTCCTCTCGTGCAATTTACTTCCTCAGAAAATCTGCGGGAGGGTCAGGCTGAGTGGAATGAAGGAAAAGTAGTCCTCCCTGAAAGATGAAGGAAAGGAAAGCTTGTCTTTCTTTTCATGGCTCAATCTTCAAATAAACCTTATTTATAACCTTCTTACCTATAAATGTGTCAGTATATTTCAAGAATATATTTTGATAAATTTAGTGCCAGATACAAAGTACTGTTGCGATTTTTTTAAAGTAAAAATTTGGAGTTCTCATGATTTTCTAATCACTACCATTTATAAACCAAAACCAAGTACAAATCAAATTCAATACTGTTGAGTTGCTTACAATTCACCAGTGACCCTTCATGATGATTCTGAGGTGGTAAATCTTGATGGAAACAAAGTGCTTCATTTTTCTCCTAAAAAATTATCTGGTTGGCTGACCTTCTGGTTAATAGCCAACAATTTAACATTCATAGTATTTTTTTTTTCATACTATTTTTTTTAAATGTTACATTGGTTATGCACAGTCTCAATAGGGAAGAAAAGTTACAAATAAATTTAAATTAACTTCATTGTCACTAATTGCAAATAATCATTATAGTTTGGCATATATAATTCTAAAGTGTTTCCATATGGATATACACACCATTATTACTATATGACGGCACTATCCTCATTTATCTTTCCAATGGTTTTGGAATGTTATATTTATACTGTTGTTGTTGTTGTTATGTGCCATAGAGATGCTTGTGACTCATAGCAACCCCATGTACAACAGCCCTAAATTCTGTTCTGTCCTGTGCCAATTGCACTGTCTCTGACACTCCCATCACAATTATCCCAGTCACTGAATCAATCCACCTCATAGAGGG